ATGTATATATGTTTGTATATGTATGTGTGTGTACATGTGTATATTTGTGTGTGCTTGTGCATATATATACATTTACGTGTGTATGAATGTATGTATGTGTATGTGTATATGTGTGTGCATGTGTATATGTATATATGTATGTGTGCATCTGTATATGTATATGTGTGTATATATGTATATTTGTGTATGATGTGTATATGTATATATGTATGTATATTATGGATGTGAACATGTGTGTGTGCTTGTGCATATATATATACGTGTGTATGAATGTATGTATATGTGTGTGAATGTGTATATGTATATATGTATGTGTATATGTATATGTGTGTATATATGTAGATTTGTGTGTGATGTGTATATGTATATATGTTTGTATATGTATGTGTGTGTACATGTGTATATTTGTGTGTGCTTGTGCATATATATACATATACGTGTGTATGAATGTATGTATGTGTATATGTGTGTGCATGTGTATATGTATATATGTATGTGTGCATCTGTATATGTATATGTGTGTATATATGTATATTTGTGTATGATGCGTATATGTATATATGTATGTATATTATGGGTGTGAACATGTGTGTGTGCTTGTGCATATATATATACGTGTGTGTGAATGTATGTATATGTGTGTGAATGTGTATATGTTTATATGTATTTGTGCATTGTATATGTATATGAATGTATATATGTATATTTGTGTGTATATGTATATATGTTTGTATGTGTATGTGTGTGTACATGTGTATATACGTGTGTGTGTATGAATGTGTGTATGGATGAGTGTATGTATATATTTATATATGGTATATTTTGGGGGTTTTAAGTCTCTTCCACTGGGGGGGGGGAGGAGTTGTGTGTGTTTTTTGGGGTGATGGACACTCGTTGGAATGTTAGTTGTATTGTGTCAAAATTTCGTGTCAATTCGACCAGTGGTTTCTGAGTTATGTTAATCCCACAAATGAACATTACATTTTAAATATATATATAGATGATGGATTGCATGTTTTTTATAGTCATTGCAGTCTTCGGAGAAAGGCAGGATATCAATAAAGATACTTGTGGTTCTATTTGGTCCCTCTCGGGCCTGGAAAGGCTTACAAACCCGGGCTATAGCACAGCTGGTAAATCACTACCAGAAGCAATAAGATCTACCAACCGAAAGGTTGCCAGTTTGAAGTCTGAGTTGGAATGAGCACCCGACTCCCAGCCCAGCTCACTGTTGACCTAAGCAGTTTGAAAACATTCATGGCTTTAAGGCACCCCAGTCAATTTAGGCAATGCTTTTGACACAAAATAAATAAATAACCAGCCAGACCTTGAAACTGCTAGGCCATTCAATGCTAATCAAGGTGGCCAATTGCAACATTCACACCTGCCTCAAGCAGACAAGAAGAGTCCTTCCTCCCACCCTGGACATTAGGCATGGGCAATCAATGGTTCTACATGGTTCTAAAGTACTTACAAAACTAGAGAGTGCTGGTGCTTTGCTTCTAAAGTGTTGCTAAAGTTCTGGTGGTGAAAATTTCAGAACTCTAACAAAACTTTCAAAATATCATTATTATTTCGTTATTGGCGATTTTTTAATGACAGAACCAATGAGGAACTGCCGTTTATAACGTAATTTTGGAAGTTTGGTTAGAATTCTGAAATTTTCACCACCAGTACTTTAGCAACACTTTAGAAGCAAAGCACCAACACCCCCTAGTTTTGTAAGTACTTGAGAACCATCTAGAACCATAGATTGCGCATGCCTACTGGACATTATTCCACAGGGATATATACCAACCCCACTTGCTTACAGTATATTCTGGCGTATAAGACTACTTTTTAACCCAAGCAAATCTTCTCAAAAGTCAGGGGTCGTCTTATACGCGGGTGTAGTCTTATGCATGGGAGTTGTCTTAACTCTATATTTTAACTGGAAAAGTTGGGGGTCGTCTTATACGCCCAGTCGTCTTATATGCCGGAATGGTAGTTTCCAGATGTTCCAACTGTTGCAAAGCTGCAGCTGTGTGTGTGTTGCTTTCCTCACCTCTGGCACAATCTGGGTTTTCTGAACAGTTGGCCAGATGGCCAAGAGCGGGACGTGAGAGGAGGCCGTGGCAGGTGGCTGAGAAGAGCCAAGGGGTTGCCACATGAGACGCAGGCGCCCCACTTGCCATATTCACATCCTCAATTGGGCCTAATTTGGCCCAATAGTGCTCTCCAGGCAAAAATCTATTGCAAACGGCCTTGCGTATTGCAACCAACCTGGAGTCCGCCTGCCTCCCAATGCGGCAATCCTAATCGGATCCTTAGGAATTGGGCCGGCAGCAGCTAATGCCTCTCCTCCCAGTTCTCCCTAAACATGCTACTGGGATCAAACTGGGAAGAATCTTGGAAACCCCCATTTGGACTCATACACTGTCAACTCTGGCTCTGCAGGGTTCCCCATAGGACCCTGATGGGCTGGACCTAATCCTTGGCCCATATATAGCAGTCACCGTCACCAGCCAATCCCCCTCCAATGCCAGAAATACAGCTTAATTGTGTAACATTAGAAAATGTACAACACCACCTGAGCTCTGCGAGTGCAGCATTTTTCCGAATGAAGCACAGAGTGTTTGAGGAGTGGGAGATCCGTAGGGAGACCAAGGGGCTTTTTGACAAAGCTATTTCCATTCCCTTGGCATCCACCTCTCCACAAAAGTCAACATTGACACTGAAATACAACGCCGTCTGAGCTCTGTGAGTGCAGCATTCTTCCGAATGAAGCAGAGAGTGTTTGAGGACCGGGGCATCCATACGGAGATGAAGGGACTTGTTTATAAAGCTATTTCCGCTCCCTTGGCAGCCACCTCTCCACAAAAGTCAACACTGACACTGAAATACAACACAACCTGGGCTCTGCGAGTGCAGCATTCTTCCAAATGAAGCACAGAGTGTTTGAGAATCGGGGCATCTGTAGGGAGACTAAGGGGCTTGTTTATAAAGCCATTGCCCTCCCAACTTTGCTGTGGCGGCCACCTCTCCACAGAAGTCAACATTGACACTGAAATACAACACCGCCTGAGCTCTGCGAGTGCAGCATTTTTCCAAATGAAGCAGAGAGTGTTTGAGAATCGGGGCATCTGTAGGGAGACTAAGGGGCTTGTTTAGAAAGCCATTGTCCTCCCAACTCTGCTGTGGCAGCCAACTCCCCACAGAAGTCAACATTGACATTGAAATACAACAGCACCTGAGCTCTGCAAGTGCAGCATTCTTCCCAATGAAGCAGAAAATGTTTGAGGATCAGGACATCCGTAGGGAGACTAAGGGGCTTGTTTAGAAAGCCATTGTCCTCCCAACTCTGCTGTGGCATCCACCTCTTCACAGAAGTCAACACTGACACTGAAATACAACACCACCTGAGCTCTGCAAGTGCAGCATTCTTCCCAATGAAGCAGAGAGTGTTTGAGGATCGGGGCATCCGTAGGGATACCAAAATGCTTGTTTATAAAGCCATTGTCCTCCCAACTTTGCTGTGGTGGCCACCTCTCCACAGAAGTCAACATTGACATTGAAATACAATAGCACCTGAGCTCTGCGAGTGCAGCATTTTTCCAATTCTGTCAGCGTTGCCTCCGGAAAATCCTGCAAATCTCTTGGGAAGACAAGTGGACAAATGTCAGCGTGCTGGAAGAAGCAAAGACCACCAGCGCTGAAGCGATGGTCCTCCACCATCAACTCGCTGGACCGGCCACGTTGTCCAGATGCCCGACCACTGTCTCCCAAAGCAGTTGCTCTACTCTGAACTCAAGAAAACGGAATGTTGGTGGGCAGGAAAAGAGATTGAAAGATGGGCTCAAAGCCAACCTTCAAAAAACTCTGGCATAGACACTGAGAACTGGGAAGCCCTGGCCCTTGAGCGCTCCAGT